CAGCTACACTTACTATTATTTTTAAAAACCGTATTGAAACCTGTGAGGCATGAAAACTGAGATTTGTCATCACGAAACCAAAAACGTGAATTTTTTTATCTAAGGCTTAAAATTAGTCAAAATATGAGGAGGAAATAGCAGTCTGAAACCAAACAGCTGTTTCATTTTAACATGTTAGTAGTAAAAATCAAACATTATTGAAGTGGTTTAATTCTCAAGTCAAAATACTCACGTGAGCTCGCTAATACAATATTTCAAACCGCGACTCTAATAAATTCAGTCACGTTTTTTCTTATCAAACAACTGTGACTCTTAAATACATGCTAACTTTCAGAAATTGTACAGTGTAAAATGCTTTTAATAAAAACACTTAGATGAGATTTTCAGAACAAAACTGAAGAGAAAATGTTATCTAATTTTGAAACTAGTCATGTCTATGTACTAACATCTTCAGTGCTTGAACTAGCTCAATAAGACTTCAAAGCTTGTTTGTTTACAGTGTTAGGTCAATGATCAATGTTTGTTCAAATTCTCATAAAAGTCTATTTTTTAATTAACTAAGATACCTCTAGAGATTATTTTCATTAAAAAAAGAAACTTTATAAAATAGATGGAACGTGGCTAGTAGTGGAATTCAAGACCTACTTGGGACTCATTGGATGTATGCATCGCCAACCCAGTGTTGATGTTTACACTGGGACTTCAACCCAGTATCTTTCGCTTCAAACCCCAACACGTTATTCACTGAGTTACGAAATCCAGATAACCGCTCACTTGGGCAACGAGTATGTTATTTACATCGTTATTAGAATGAATTTGAATTATCCCATCGTTGAAACTGTTGCCAACCAAGATTGATCAAATTCAGTAAACATTATCACCAACGGCATAGGTCAAACCCATTCTGATAATAATGTAAAAATGAAATTATTTAAAAGACGACTTAAAACCAAGGACCACTCGACAACTGCTTCAGTCAAGTTCCTGACTCAACAGACGTACGAAACGATGGTCAGATAACGGATTAAAAACATGACCTACATAATATCACGTAACCTATCAGTCGATGCACAGTGTACACTATAGCCAATGAATTACTGTATCACTTCTTACTGGTCTATTAATGAAAACAAATTTCAAGTTATATAAATCCATTCGTAAAATAACATCTTAACCTTGGTAAACAAGAGAATGTTTAAATAACCGGTAGATAAATTTACTTCATTTATGAACATATGAATATAGCTGGATGAATAATATATATATAAGGTTTCTGGTAGGTTGGTATTGATGTAACAGTCTCAACATAGTACATCAACATAAATAAAAGCACAATCTTCTAGAATGTAAACTAACTTAGATGTTTATAATCACTATAATGTGAAAGGATACTCAGGATATCAATCAATACAAGTTGATTTTTTATATAAAAATACTATGGCTTATCTTGCAGCTTATCAAAATACTGTTCCTGGTATGACTACTTGCTACAATTATGGAAAAAATGTTACTTGTCACTTCTTACAATGGAACAAGACTGATATGACTGGATGTAAGCAGTAAGGGTAAGACTATATTCATGCACTTTATTTATGCACTAACCACTGATTTACAACAGATCAAATTCTAAAAATTTATATAACCATTCTTTATCTATTTCAACTTTATCGCCTGGATACTACGACTATCCTCTATATCATTCATGATAAGAACTTGAAACTATACTTAATGAATAACCACCACTATCATTATTCAATAAACCTTTATGCTACGAAGAGACCCAGGACAGGGTTGGATGGAGAATGCTGGTGAGCGGCCTATGCTCCTTCACGAGGAGTAACAGGTGTAAGTAAGTAAGTACGAAGAGAGAAATTATACCTCACAACTCATAACTGTTGGGGCAATTATAAATCTTGACATTTTCAGATTTCTAGAGAATTCTTCTATCTAGTGTTTTATTTAGATAAATGATAATGGATAGACAGCATTGGAAAATAATGGAAAAATATATTTCTTAGACTATTAAATGTAGCACAGTTCTTACTAATCATAAAATCTGAATAACAAAAATGACATATGATTATAAGTATATTAAATATACTACACATTTTCCATTGATGAATACTATGAATGTAACAGCTGAAAAGAATACTCTGACAGTAATTCCACCATGATTTATACAAAGTAACTTATCGGCTATTAAATAATAACTTTACATGAACAGCTAGAAACAAATTATAGTTTACTATGAGAAAGCAAAGATTTTACCAGTTTTCTAAATCTATTATATTAGATAAGTACCAATTCATATGTGACTCGGTTTAATTCTACCTATTTACGACTATCATAAAAATGTTTAATTTAGTTAAAACAATCAAGCAAAAGTCCGTTTATTATGCTCAATTATCAATTTTATCAAAATTATCAAAAATTATCAAAATATATAATCTTGTCTAGTATGCTGCAATTATGTAGTAATGAATTATGTAACCAAACTTACATCCAGACGAAAAGAGAAAAATTCCACCCTACACGTAAAATCCTTTTTTTTTCTTACAAATAACTAACTCTAGATATTTCGTAGATATGCATAAAGGTTTAAAGTAAACTAGCTACTTAAAAAAGAAAAGTAGCAAGTAAAACCATAAAAGTTATTTGACTAGGAAGGAAGAAACTAGGAAAAAACCCATTAGAAAATAAAGTATAAAATATGCGACAGTTTTTGTCTATTCCATTATGTGTGTGTATCCGTTGTAAAGCATAAATCATAGTTTAAAAAAATATCTCTCCCAACCTATTCTAGTTCCTTTTTTTTGCTTTACTTGAGGATTATTAGCAATCAAGATTAGACGATTGTCACCGCCCGTCTAATATTGGGCTGATGCTTAACTTATTAGTGGAATTAGTCAAATTATATTTTTTCTTTATTTTATTTTACAATATCTCAGTCTTTTAATATCTTTAGTAAAATGATATAAGTGCAGGAATATGTAACTGATACAGTTGGATTTTAGTTGCCCAGTTCAAAACGTAATCGTGCTGTTGGGACGTAACCGTTTTAGGGTGGATTTTGGTGTTTTGAAATTGCTTAACTAAAAGTATGTCATTTCAGCAGAGTAAATATACTAATGATAATTCATGTAAAATAAGTTATGTCCAATAATAATTCAACGTCACTTCAAGATACCCTATGAAAAGAATAACTTTCCTCTGGCATAATAAATCACATTCTAAAAAGCAATGTACCGGAAAAGTCTTAATGGATTACCAGGTCAGTTGATGAATATTTGCCAGGCACGTGGTACTAGTCGGTGTAAAATAAAATCACTCAACTTTATGCAGCTAATGTTAGGTCAAGATAGAGGAAAATGTGAAGAAGTAACAGTTATTAGAACATAACACTTTCATGATAATTTTGCTAGTTTCTAATTAAAATTGGTCTTAAAGTAATTGAAATCCTCAAGTCACAACATCTAAATCAATGAAAATGTAATGCTCAAAAGTGATTAACTTTAAAGTAAATTCTACAAAGTTTTAATCTGAAGTCATAGTTTGTCAAGTAAACTGGGTCAAGACAGCACTTCACAGGTAAAATTTGATAAAATATCGACCGATACCCGGACTTGATTACACTTGAAAAAAAAGACAAATTAATGTCAACCTAATCGCTTGAAAATATCATACTCTTCAAAAGACGCGGAAGACCTGCTTTCTCTGCTAAATCTTATCGTAAATGGTCATTTCAACAGAATCCTAAACAGGGATGAATCGATTAGCTTATCTTACGTGTTTTCCAGTTGCCCATCGCTATATTTCAGATCGTAGTGAAAATTACCGCCGGCTTCTATACAACATTCACAGTACCACATAATGCAAACTTTTAATTTTCCTAAAACCGTATTTTCAGTAAATGATATTTTAAGAAAATGATACATAAATTTTCAATAAATGTTACTTCTGTACATTTTGTCTCCCTGTCCTGAAGTCAGTTTCATAAAGTTGAATAATTTCAATTTATTGTTACTTGTAGTATAGAGATAAGTAATTTTCTAGACGCTATAACTTAAAATCAAGCGAAGAATCCGAAACTACTTAGGTTATCGACAAAACGACTGGTCAATACGGTCTCAAAATCATTATACTGGCCAATGAACATCAAAAACTCATAATCTAAACGTGATTAATAATTTGAATATGCTTTTTACTGTCTTTAAATTAGTTGGTAAAAAACATACTTAGTTAAGAAGCTGATTTACAATTATTAGGATCTAGAAGGACTGTTGTTACGCATTATTTATGGTATTGAAGCGAAATTTAAAATCATGCTAGCGAATTCGGATAAGCACAATTCAAACGACCATCTCACTGCTTTACTACCATATCTACACGATTTGATTATTACGACATAAATCATTTTAAATAGACTTCAAAAAACAAATTGATGAAAGTCATGGAATTTGAAATGGGAATACCATTTAGGTATATTAGGCCACTTATGATGACATTATGATAAATTCATTGACCAGTTCAACAAATAAACCGTGTTCCTACTACGATTTTCCTAGATAAATGCATTAACTTTAAATAGTACAGGAAGATGACAGGTTCTAGAGATCAACAGTCAAATCACTGATGAACACCATTTGTTGTAAGCATTCAACTGAATTATAATCGTGAACAACATGATTTCTTTAATAAAATTCCGCCTATAGCTCTTCTAGAGTTACTGCCGGTCCCAAGCCCGGGTAAAGGATGAGGGTTGGGTAAGGGGTCGGCAAGCCCATCCCGTGGAAAAGAAACCTTGCAAAGAAAAAACGCCAACCACAATGAAATAAACAAATATCTAGTATGAACCTATAGTACAGAAAAGGAATAAAACATGTCATCGAAGTTTACTGAAGCTTTTATTTCTTTTCATTGCTTTTCCTTAATTCAATAATAACCATAAGTCGACAAACGATAATTGATTATTTAAAAGGAAAAAGGGTTAATAAACTTACTGGCTTTGCATGGGTCAAGCCAATTGCTTTCTGGATATAATATGGCCAAATCTTTCTCTGGCTCAAATTTTAGTGACTTTGGTATAAAATAGTTTATTTTTTCATGTAACCTTTCAACGAATAATGTGTTCTTTGATATGTTATGATCTTTAAAAATCTTTTTGTGCGTCGATTTTGAATTTGTTTGAGTTACATTAGAAAATCTACTATTATGATTATTAGTAGTATTAATATTCATTTTGTGCTTTTTGACTTTGTAATTATGTGGTTTCTGAAAATTTGAACCATTATATGATTGAAATTGATTCTTGATTAATTGACTCCCTGAAACAGATGGACCAGGATGAATGAAATATACTTTCGGTATATTTATTGTTTCTTCAGTTACATGTGGATTCAGCCAAACCAACTGTATGTTTACAATTAAATGTACAAATGCATTTATTAAGATAAAGAAATGATCAACAGGAAAATTCATTTGAATAGTAGTGTATTCAATATATTTGTGTGTGCGTGAGATATAAATTCCGGTACAAATTGGTTAATAAAATCGTGATTGCAAACTGAGCATAAACTCAGTCATCAGTACCCTCTCATTCTAAATAGTTTTTTTTTTAATAGTTGATTTCTAATCTATTTACTTCTGGATACACTGACTTATCTTTATAATTATTACTGATACACCTGAAGGATATATGGAGTCATCGAACAATTTACTTGGATGCATCAACTATTAGAAAGCAGAAACTTCAGTACATATAAAATAGCTTGCTTTAGGATCATTTTCGGACTTCATAATTGCCGATGAATAAGCGCATATTGATTAACTGATATGTGTTGTAATCTTGATTTCAATCAATACAAAACTGTATAGAAACAATTTTGAGATTAGATGAGATAAAGCTGTTAGAGTTACGTAGGGTATTATCGTCAAAAGGTCATAATTTATGGCATTGACCAATAGAGTTACTATCTCGACCCTATCACATATACATATATAGTGGAGCTTTAGACACACTGCCTACACACATATACACGTATGTTACAGGCTTACAAGTCAGTCTCCCAATCAATCGTAAATTTTTAATAGTTTGCATTATTTGATTGTGTATACGTACATGTATACACCAGTAGTGTATGGCAAATTTCACTCAACACACCCAAGAAACATGTGTGTACAAAGACAGCTGACGCATATCAATTGATATTATATTATACTATAGGCCTTAATATTCGCTAACAATTCATTGAGTTCTTAAGAATAGAAATGTTCATGTATTGGTACAGTACAACATCTCAAAGATCGGTACAAACGAAAACTTAACTACAAAGAAAATGCTTGAACATATTGTTTTATGTTGTCTTCATTTTTCTCGCAACCATGTATATCAGATTATTGGTTTTTATATTCATGAGATAAAACAAGTGTTATCGACATTATGAAATGAGTCACATACGGTCTAATGTTATATAATACGTAACTTCATTGTAGTGTTTTATCCTAAGATTTCAAGTTATAGAAGTTGAGGTGATCGATTCCTGTCTATGGAATCAGTTTCAACTTGGAAGTTACAAGAAATACCTACACCTGATGCAGATTGTGTTAGGTCCTGAGAAACATAATGAATGGTAACTTTGGGATCCTTTTATAAACCAATACTAAACGTATATTTTTATCGTATAATTGTTAAATAACTAAACTATTCATATTCATGTTCCTCTTATTATAAGCTTTATTTTTACCTCTGGACCATTATTATATGTTTTACCATTGTTGAATTATGCTCAGTTTATTAGTCACTGCCCTTTAATCGGCAGTCACAAGTTATAACAGATTGTATTTGAGAGTACTTGATATGATTCAATAAGTGTCAAAGATGATTCTGTGAGTAAAAAAGTAATCCGATCTTTACACTTTCAACAATTACACACTTAACTTCACACTTGTAACCCTGGTACTCCTAATCGTAATACCTAACCCTAATACAACTAACCCTTCAAAATCTAGCTACTAACATTAATATAACTATGGTTAAACTTTTAATGTCTAACCCCCACCTCGTTTCATTTACCATCATAAATAACTCAACATGTTAGAGTTCATTATTATCTCAAAATTGTTTATCCTCTGCAATTTTTTTGTTTTATTTTTAAGTTTACATTAATATTTACTTGGTGAATATTTAAATATTTTTTCTGTATTTACAAATTTAGTATTACAAATGCTTTATGAGATGATTTATACTCATAATACTAATCACTAGTTTGATATCTTTATCAATATCAGAAGGGGTTTTGTGGAGATTTCTAGAAATTTCAATAGTTGAAATCATATGTAAATTGAAGCTAGACCACCATGGAAAACCTGGAAGCGCGAGACTGATAGGTCTTGAGTTCGAATCTAGCGGGGTGGGGGATCGTGGATGCGCACTGCTGAGGAGTCCCATACTAGGACTAAACGGCCATCCATTCAACATTATCTAGTAAGAGACTTGTTACATTTGTATATATATTTCATAGCCTTAAAACCAACAAAATGAACATATAGTTTTCTAAAAACTGAAACTTGTATGCTAATTACTTGTTCTATTTTTTTTTGTTTTCTTTTTCTCATTTGTTCCTGTTTCTTATTTCAATGTCACTCATTTGAATCAGAAAATGTTCTTCTCTTATTGTTTTTTTTTGAAAAAGAAATCGAAATTAAATGGGTAAGGTAACCTGTAGAAAAAATATTTTGTAAACCAGAATTCATATTTGATAATAAAACAAAAAAATATTTAAATTAAATAAATAAGCAAAATAATATTTTTCGAAAGTAAGTAAAAGTTATGGTGTTTTGTGTGAAAATCTTTTTCTGTCTTTGATTTTTACCGAACAGAGAATCATTGGAATGAAAGAAAGATGTACATATTCATTATTTTTGTTTAATGCATAGAAATGACACTAGCTGGAGAACTGTTTATAGGTGAAAGAAAAGAACATTGGTAAGCTACCTTATCTGCTTTAGACTCACTAAAAAGGGGAATAGAGAACTCATGTCAATGTTGATTCTCCCGGTCTCCCACATTATCTAGATATTCCATATACGTATATTAATTGTTGCTCTGGTTGTCAGTAGAGACATAGGTCTAATGACTTTCAAAGAAACTCGGCTTTCACCATGAGGCTTCATAATTCTTTTGAATGAATATCCTTCAATTCGGAGGTCACAGTTTAAATTGTTTATTCTGGCTAGCGCTTTTTAAGCATGGTTGTTTTCTACGGGATGGAGTTGTTAACGTTATACCAAATCCTCTTTCTTTACGCAGGCTTAGGACTTGCAGTAACCCCAGAAGAGCTACAGGCTGAATAAAGCCAATACATGATTGGAGTAAATATTTTTTGTAAGGTCAAAGTCTCATTGAAAGTTATTATTATTATTGCAAACAATTAATTTCACTGCATAGTGTTTATAAATAAATATCTATCAATGATCAAATAAGAGCCTATTTTAAGACAGAGTTTAATCATTTCCATATACATATGAGACGAATTATGTCACCAAATATCTTATTATACATGTCCTTATCCTTACTAACATTTTACTTTTGGTCATGTAATTTTATTGTCTTTCTAGGGAGAACTATCAATACAAAGTTATACAATCCTTTATATATGGGTTATATAATTATAAATTTCAAGGTTTTTTATGCTTAATTATTTATCGCTAGCTGCTCTATACAACTATAAGAATGATAGGCGATTATAATGAATTCATTAAAGGAAAATAAACTTGATTATTATTACTTCGATTCATTTCATGCCAGATATCTCTAGATGTTATTCTACTAGCTTTTGGTTTAATAATGAATAGTACCTAGTTTTTGTATATAGCGTTCGTTACCATGTTTACATAATCGACTGGTACAAAAGACAGTAAACAAGAATAGTGAATGAAAGTCATTATTACTTCTTCACAATCATCATCATCCTCATATATGGGTAGACCGTTCATTCAGAGCTGAAGATCAAAATACGGTTTTACACAATTTGTGTAAATCATTTGCTATTCATTCAATGGAGATGTGAAACACCTCCCAAATTAAATAAACTATCATTAACCAAAGTATTTTATGACTGGACACATTAAGAAAAGTTTGGTAGTAATTTTTACAAATTGTTTTTAAATCGGTTTGAAAATTCAAGTTGGTATCACTAGAATTTTGAACACGAAAATACAGAGAAGGTAAATCGGCGGCCTGCTTGAATATCTGGGCTACCTGTTTCTGCCATCTGATTATTTCAACAAGTTATCTGTTTTTCATTTGTTTTAATTTATAATTATGTCTATTAATCGCATAACCTATTCAGGCGCTTTTATGAAAAGCCTACGACCTTCCGCTGCACAAGTTACGAAAAAGTACTATAAAAGGCATCGTGGTGGTTGGCAATATGCGTTAAAGAGAATGAACATTAATCATATGTCAATTCCCGAGCTACTAAATTCTAACTGCCGATCACTAATCAACAAAGTGGACTATCTGCAATTCTTATTTAGTCAAAATACGTATCGTAATTGTGGTGTCATCACAGTTCAAGAATCTTGGTTGAATGATTTACAGGATGACTGCCTTGTATCACTACGTGATTTTAAAATTTATCGTCAGGATCGATCGAACAATAAAAAGAGGTGTGGTGGCGGTGTAGCTACGTTTGTAAACATAAACTGGTGTCGATCTTCGTTTGTGTGTTTTAAGTTTTCAAATGACTTTATCGACTGTCTAACTCTAAGATGTCGTCCAAAACATCTGAATAAATACAAATATGTTTATGTGACCAATATCTACGTGACTCCAGATTGCACATCATCTGCACTATCTGTTTTTGCTGATGAATTCACTGAGTTCGCTGTTACTGCCTTCAGTGATTCACTTTCAGTTGTATGTGGTGATTTCAATTCATGTGACTGTAGCTTCCTTACGTCACTAGGTCACCAAAATGTAGTAGACTTTCCTACCCGTCTGGATGCTCATCTAGACTTCGTCTTCATTAATGATGTGGGTATATATGCGACTCGTAAACGTGCTCCATTGTCTAGCTCAGATCACTGTATAATTCGTGTTCTACCTAAAGTATATGGAAAGCATGGGAAGAATACACTCCTACGTCAAACCAGAAAAGTCAAATATAGGAATTACACAGAAGAAAATATCCGAAATCTGAAAAACATGTTTCATACGACTAACTGGGAATTATTTACAGATGACTCACTGGAAAACACTACCGATGTTATCACTTGTTACCTTAAATTGTGTTTTGATATTTGTTATCCCACTGAAACCATTTTTGTAAGTTTTGATCGACTTACATCTTCACAACTAAAACGACTACGAAGGATGAAAGAAAGCATGTACAAGGAGAAGAACTCTAATGAAGTTCGTAAACTAAATGGTCTGATAAACCTAGAGATTAGACGTCTTAACTGTATGTTTACTCAAAAGCTCTTATCTTGCAAAAACTCTCCAAGTATGTGGAAATTCTTTAAAGAACTTACAGGTGACAGAAAGTTTAGAATCGATAACCAGCTGAATGTTTGTGACTTAAATAAGTCTTTTGTACGTCAGTCATCTGATGTGATGCTCCCTCTATCCACGGGTTTAAAAACTAGCTGTGTTCTTACTTTCACTGAAACTGATGTACGAGGATGTCTCCAGTCGCTTAATTCATCTCGATGTTTGGGACCTGATGGTATCCCAAACATCCTTTTTACAAAATGTGCTGACGTTCTGTGTCATCCGTTCACAACTATATTTAACAGATCCTTCTCATCTAATCTCATACCGAAAATGTGGAGAAAGATGAAGATAATTCCTGTACCCAAGAAAGCATTTGGTGATAAGAATGTAAAATATAGACCTATTGCAATAACTTCACCCTTCCTCAAAACCATGGAAAAATTATTAATTCTTCCACTTCAGCCTGCGATAAA